TTTTTTTAAGAAAAAAGTACTTACAACATAGTGTAAATTTTACATTTTGTATTGCCTTGAATTTTATCTGTCTGTCATAGCAAAATAGAAATGAAGTCCCTTGCACTCCTGCATCCTTCGCTAGCATTTCACTTTACACCTTTGTTGAGGACGGCTTAACGTAATTGAGAGAAAATATGCTGAAAATGTCATTTGTACTTTTTGTACTTTCCGTTCTGCTCTTCTTCACAGCTTCGTATTTCAAATTTCGTTGGTTGTAGAAGCAGCTGACTCAACTGAAAGCAGATGCTGACAAAGCCGCGTCCACAACGACGGAAATCCAAGCAAAGCTGGTTGTCGCCGAAGAGAAACTGAGGGATGTTGAGAAAACTCGAGAAAAAGAGAAAGCCGAGGAAGAGAGAATAAGGTAAATTGTTGATCGTTGCATTCAGTTAATTTTTTTATTTAGTGGTTTTCTTTTACGTGAAATACTTCTTTCAAACTTTCTGATAATTTTCCCCTGAATTTTTCAATAGTGTTTCGTTTTCCAAAAGAAGATGCTTGAAATTCTGTTCTGTACATTCGTATTTACTTCAAGGATGCTCAGTAGTGATATGGGCGATTTTTTAGAGAACAATATGCCAACGCTTTGGAAAACCTGAAATCCGAACTAGCCGAAGCCCATAGTCGCCTCAGATCTGCCGAGTCTGCGGAAAAAGAGAGCGAGCAGTTGCGCGCCGAACTTGCTGAGGTGAAGAAACAGTGCGAAGAAGAAGTGGCCAAACAAAAAGAGGTGAAAAAAAATACCTGCTTTGGATGACTGTGCTGCAATAGGGGCTTTTAGGAATCAGAGCAAGCCGTTCAAGAGTTCAAAACGAGAGCAGAGAAAAAACTGGCAAGGATAAAAGCATCCGCGGAAAAGGAAGTTAACTCAGCTAAAGCTGAGCTGCTGTTAGAGGTGCGTCTTATAATGCATCTAACTGTGAGATGGTTTAATCGCCAATTCTAAAGGTGGATGAGCTACGACGCAATCTTTCTGAACGTGATCGGCGTTTTGATGAGCTTGTTGTGGAAAAAGCTCGAATGGAACAGCAGATTCTTGGGCAGCAGGAGATGGAGAAGGAATTGGAACAGCGACGCGCCAAAGAGAAGGAGGTGAGTCAGGCGAGAATTCTCTCCAGTAGTAAGAAGGATCTTGCGAAAGTTTTTAGATGTTTCCTAATTTTTGGTGCACTTGTTTTTGAAAAAAAAATTTTTTGAAAAAGATTGGAAGTAACGGCAGTCACATTCCAATTCTGAGGATAGTTCTGATTTTTTATAAGAGAAAAAATGTCATTGCCACAATTCCGACACTTTTTTGAATTAGCAGTCCAAAAGCACCTGTTAATGAAAGGTAGTTAATGGTAAATTCTACCAACATTCTACCTTTCTATAGGATAATGGTTATTTTCCAAGCAGTCTTCAACCAGAAGTAAAAAATCTGCGCTTTCCACTACCGTCTTTGAATTTTTTAAACTCCACTTTGTAGTTGACGGACTTCCGTAAGAATGTCGAAAGGCACGTGGTAGAGCTGGAAGCGGAGAACAAACTGCTCAAGGAGAAAAATGCTGATCTGAATAAGTACAAGGAGGAAAGCGATGCCCGAACTGAAGACAGCGAACGAAATGTGAAGGAGTTACAACAGAAGGTCAGCAATTTTTTTGTTGTTGGAAATATGGCTTTTTTGATGACGATTCTTGTGCATCGAGTTCCCCAAAAAATGGTTTTTCTTTTAGATTAAAGCCCTTGAAGATGCAAATGAGGAAGGTTTTCGGAAAGCAGTTGCTAAGCATGAGAGTAATGATAAAAAGGTAGGAAGTGCATATTGAAGTGCGGTTTTCGAGTGAAAAATGAATTTGTTTGTTATAGGCTGTCAGAGACCTCCAAAGAGAAGTGAAACAACTATATGTTGAGCTGAGTGAGAAGACTGATGCCCTGGACATGGCGAACGCACGATTAGCTGAGCTAGAATCGAGTAGTTCCAACCGTGAAGAAGAGATTGCAGAAAAGCAAACTCAGCAAGCTGTTGATGCTTCGCCGAATGTTGAGGTGCGATTTTATTATCTTAACTTTTTTTGCCGATTTTCTCTTTTTTAGATTGAGGAAGAGCTGGAATCCATGCGAAAACGGTTAAAAGATTCACATAAAGAGGTTGATAATCTTAGAGAAGAGAATGCCCGATTAGAGCGACTAATGGACCAACAGAATAAGATTAACTCTGTATGCACTTTTATAAATTTCAATATCGCTGCTTATGCTATTTGATTTTTTT